TTTTAATTCCTGTGGGCATGAATCAACTTCAGAGGAAGGATCAGTCAAAAGACACTGAATGAGCAATTCAGTACCACTACTGCTAAACACCCTATTTTCATTATCTCAAGTAAGTGCTCCATAGCTGCACTTCTATTAATAAAATCTAAAGCTAAAACAAACCACAGAGAAAAACAGGGGAAAGAACAGCTATAATCCAAATCTTCCAGAGCTATTTTGGCATACAGATTTTCTTCAGCTGTCTTGGCGCCAGCTGTTACCTCAGGGTGCCTTATATATTGTGCTCCAATCAGAGTGCTGTCTACGCAGACTTTGCACATTAACCATCCCACTGCTAACCCCCCAGCGCACATTTGTACACAGTCAATTGACCGTGTGATGTCTGTTGTGTCACTTTAACCTCTTTAATACCAGAAACAAGTATAAATGTAATGATTAATGTAAAGTTGGTGAAAATGTCAGCTTTCAAATAGTGCAATAAGTTTCACTGAGTTATACCATTCTTAAAGCCAGGGAGGGGGAAGAAGTAAATGAACTCTACGGTTCAGCCCCAAAGTTTCCTCCAGTAGCGATGTCCACTCCACCCCCACCCCCGATAGCATCCAACATCTGAATTGTCAGATTTAGGAAACACAGAGTGCCACTGGGTACGGGTGCAGCTTATTGACTGAGAGTTGCCCTTGCCAGGCGGCACTCCCCACTTCCAGAATCTGAAGACTTTGAAGCCAGATGTTGCCAGGGAGGGGGCAACTCTTGGCTTAAACTGTTTGAGAATGGTGTAACTCCTTGAGGTAAGAGTTCCCCCGGGGCCTCCTCGATGCATAACAACTTTATTTAGATGAAGTTGCTTTTTTGACTGGAGTGTCCCTTTAATATGAAAAAGATAAATTATGGTTGAACAAACCTATAGCTCAAATTCCAGGTTTTGGTTTAATCAGAATTTGTACAATTGCCTCCATCCTTAAGGGGTTAAATCTGCTAATCCAATGTTTATAATCCCTTCATGTGCACCCACACTTATACATAATTTTCTTCAGGAGAATAAGGGCTTTCATTTCATATCAAATATGTATATATGAAACATATTATGAATAAAATCTAAAAAAGTTTGAGAAATCAAGACATTTTATTTTCCAAGTCATGCATGACATTTTAACATTGAATGTCACAATACTGTTAGGCTTTTACTGCAATAACATACACATATTTGTATTCAGCAATGTCTCATGAGTACAACATTAGCCACCATGTACAGGTTTTATGTGGTTTTTTGGAAGTTACAGCGTTAAATATAGGGCTTTCCCCTTTTGTAACAGAAACATGGTGAGATGAGACACATGACTGGGCAGTCAACTTAAATTGCTACACATTATTTAGACAGGATAGAAAAACAGGAAAGGTGTGGAGGGGTGATGTTCGTATGTAAACCATGAGTTAAAGCCAAATTAAGCAAATGTGATGTGATGAGGAAGCTTTATGGGTAGATATCTACTTTGCGCTAAGGAAGGGAAATCATGTATTGGTTGGGATATGTTATAAACCACCTAATGTAAATATTGATGAGGAAGAACAGATATTAGAGCAAACTGGGAAAGCTGCACATCTGAGTAACATGTAAATTATTGGAGATTTCAATTGCTTGGACATAAATTGGGATAGAGTGACTAGTAGTTCAGTAAGGTGAATCAGGTTTTTGAATGTATTATAATACACCTTCATGTCACAACTGGTAAAAGCACCAACTAGAAAGGATGTTTGTCTGGATTGGTTATAACAATGAATATTGATCATTTGACCAACATTCAAGTAGGGGGGCAATTTGGAAATAGTGAACATAATATGTTTTTTTTTTAAATAAACTCTAATAAGCAAAAGCACATGGGATATACTAACGCATTTGATTTTAAAAAGGCCGATTTGAAGAAGATAAGGGCAGCTTTAGAATATATTGACCGGCATTAACTATTTAGTAAGAAACCCACTGAGGATAAATGGAATATCTTCAAACAAATATTAGAAAGGTACATTTCTCAGTACGTACCACTGGGTAATAAATATAAAAGAAGCAAATTGAAACAGATGCGGCTTAGTGGGACAGTAAATCAAGAGATTAAAAATAAGAAAAGGGAATTTAAAGAATCTAAATTAGACAAATCAGAGCTGTCCTATATAAGATATAAGGAAACAAATAATGATTGCAAAAAGACAATTAGAGGGGCTAGAAAACTGGGAAATTGATAGCCAAATAGAACAAAACCAACACTAAAGCCTTTTTAATTACATAAAGCCTAAAAAAAAAAGTTAGGTAATGAAGACTAGGAAAAGGCAGACATTTTTAATAGCTATTTTTCTCAGTATACATTAAGGGGGATCCTATGGTAAAAGATATGCAAATGATTGCTGTAAAAACATGCAGAAAAATTGTGATTGGATGATTTAAGAAACGCTACTACAGCAGCTAAAGAAAGTTAATATAAACAAAACTCTGGAAGTCATTCCTAAATTCTAAAAGGGTTTAAAATCTTTGCCTGGAAATTATAGACCTGTAAACATCTGTGGCTAAGAAAGTATTGGAATGGTTACTAAGGGATTTTTTTCAGGTATTTATTGGAAAGAACATTGGTATTAGCAATAATCAACATGGTTTTATGAAGCATAGGTCTTGTCAAACTAAACTAATTGCATTATATGAAGAAGTAAGTAGATGTATAGATCGGGGTACAGAAAATTTAAAAAGTACACGTTGGCGCTTCTAAAGTGTCTTTTTATTAGACAAATGTCTTAGGTATGATGAAATAAATATATTGTATACGTGTTTAAATCAGCTGCTAAAACACTTACAGTGTTAAATTAAAACATAAAAGTAACCACAAAAAAGTCAGTGATAGTATGGTGCTTAAAACCACAAAAGATATTTTCCAAGTGTATCACAAACCCTCTTCTCAAACAAAATAACTTCATTATACAAAAAGTGCTAATAGCTAAGTACAGTACTGTGGTACACACAAGAAAATATTAAACATAGTAAAGTGCCAACAGGTTCACACATAAAAAATATTAAAAAAAATTACAGTATTTAAAGTGCAAAATATATTACCCATTGAAAGTGCCAATAAAAATTAGAGTCCAATTGATACTCAAGGGTGGTATAAATCTCCAAGGAAGTTGAAACTTCAAAAAAAGATAGATAACGTACAATAGTGTAGTATGTCAAGTATAGTGTAGCAAAAGCTGTTATTGCCCAATCACTTGGAAAAAGCCTGGAAACTGGCTCTATTAAAATGCATTGGAGTCACTTTTGGAGACTCCTCCTCTATTATGCAATCGTAAAGAACCTCAGGAATAAGAACAGGTATAAATAAATAGTGTAGTATTTCCAAGCATATGGTACAGGTCAAAAAGTGAAAAGAACATCACTCATGTGTTCCAGAGCCAGGCTCCAGGCTCTTATAAGTTGGCTGTGCATCCACACAGGGTACGCCATCCTCTGTAATCAGATAATGGAGATGCTCCACTAGAAGGTGCACCATCACAATTATTAGTAAATAAAAAAATGAACAAACAAAACAACTTAAAAATAACAAAATATAAACTCACATAACGTAAAATATAAAATCCACAGAGTAATCTTGTTGAAACACAGTTCACCTGTAATTTAGGCTTCTGTAATTTAGGCCCCCTGTATTGACATTCACTTATATGTAGTTGTCTAAGTCTGATTTCCAGTGCTGGCATACATTCCATGCCTCTCTTTGCTGCTCTTTAAATTGGGGCTGTCTTCCAAGCATCGTCCTCACAAATTGGCGGTCAACTTCAGTCTTCTTGCAGCCGCCATCTTTGCATTCTCTGAGGCTGTGTTCGCTCCCCTCCCATGTAAGCTCCTCCAAAGACTTCCTCATCCCTCCTTGTGGGCTCCAGAGATTCATGAAGCAATTAGTGGAGCAGACTTACAGTGCTCGGTAGGACCGGCTTAAGACATAAATGATGGACTGTTTGGTTATGTTAAAGCACTCCCATATGCATATAATCACACACCTATTTGGGGTGCTAGACTATACAATAATATACTTAAATAGAGCACCCACAATAAAATAAAGTTTTGAATCATATGGAAAATAATAGATAAAAGTGAATTGCTATAAAGAGAGAACAAGATTCTTAGTCCACATGTATAGGAGTGTAATCTGAGAAGATGGTGATATAATGCTTGAAATATAAAATATGTTTCCACAATCATAAAAAAGTTGTAGGAAATTGAAGATTATATTAGCTTTAGTGTACTAATAATCTTAATTTTAGTAATGACAGGAGGCGAATATTTGCATATCTTTCTTTACTGAAAACTCCAGCAGCATAGAAACATAACAACCAATCAGAAAAAAGTTATGATGCCCATAAAAGGCCCTGTCTATGACATCACTTCCTCTTTCTTTGAAGCGAAACAATAAATAACAACAAGAGACATAATCATATTACGTCAACAGTTCAACAACATATTAGAATATCCAACTCCATTAGTTCCGCGATGCAGAGGTATGGAAGGTGAATCTTTGTCTCGATGAGAAGACGTTCACGCTGCAAGAAAAAGAAAAAGGTGAAAGGTATCTGGCGTGATAACTTGTCTGCATACAATAAGCATTAAGCATCTGATATACCAACGAACATTAGAATGTGAAACATATCAATATATATTTATTCTAACGCAATGATATTTAAGAATCTATAAACACAACATAATGCAAGGTTCATGTCTAATATTCAGCCAATACAAGACCCACAAGATACAGGTCTAAGTAGCAAACATACAAACCATACGTACTTACCTTCCTGAACATAAAGGACATATTCTGTTCAACACGAGAAACATGGGAGGGATCCTATAGGGTGGGAAATATTCGCCTCCTGTCATTACTAAAATTAAGATTATTAGTACACTAAAGCTAATATAATCTTCAATTTTACCACATGACAGGAGGCTTCATATTTGCATTTTTAAAGCTTTGAATTGACCAATGTGAAGGAAGCATGAGATGTTTGCCGAAAATAGAACGTTCTAAACGTACTCTCTCGCGCTCAGTCCGCGCAGCGTATAATGTCGGCTAGGGAAGCGTCGGCCGAAAAGGTTTGTGAGGCCGCCGCTCCCCTGACCGAGTGGGCTCCGAAACAAGGTTCGACGCTAAAGACAAAAACCAGTGGACCCATCTGGCCAGTGTTGCGGTAGACACCGGTCCATGAGGGTTCACGTAAGAAGTCAGAAGGTGATCCGTCAAATGAGTTCGAAGGGGGTAGAGATATTGGTGTACCCCATTAGCGTCTGACACAAAGCATGGGTATGACACTGAAGACGAATCAGACTTAGTTCGTCTCGACATGGTAAAGGTAACCCCATCTGGTGTGAGAGCGAAACCATCCATATCGCAAGCCCTAACGTCCGCCACTGTCTAAATGAGGCGAGGCATAATAAGAGGGCTAGTTTGGCTGAAAGTTGCTTCAGTGACAAACAAGGATTTTCCGGCCATTCCCTAAGGAATCTCAGCACCACATCCACCTGCCAGAGGCGTGAATATTTGGGTGCAGGGATCTTGACAATTCGGCACCCCGCAGTAGTCGACAAACCAGTGTATCTTGACCTACTGGTCTGCCTTGTACCGGAACATGCGCCGCCGATATGGCGGATCTGATCCCGTTGAGGGATCGATATGACCGACCCAACGAGACCAGGTGTGACAGATAGTTGAGGAGCAGTGGGACAGGTGCGGTAAAGGGATCAGAATCCCTTTCCACACACCAATCACTCCAGGCCGGCCAGGCAGAAATATAGCCTTTCCTGGTGCCGGGAGCCTATGAGTCCCATAGGAGGTCTTAGTTGATGCAATAGGTCGTGAACTGACCAGGAGCCCCTGAAACCGTCCAGGCAACTAGTGCCAGTTGTCCTTCCATGACAAGGGAGTGGGATTCCCCTCGAGGTACTGTCAGAAGTAGAGGGAAGGTAGGGAGTAGTAGAGGGTCTTCGCGAGACATCTCCAGGCGATCCGGGAAATCACGGTTGGCCCTGACCGAGGGGTGTCATGAGCAGGAGCGATATCTTGTGGGTGTGTGTGTGTATCGAAGCACCCTTGCTATTGTGGAGAACGGCTGGGTCACGTTTGCAGGGGTTCATCCATCGCCCCGTATCCGAAGGAAGAGTCAAAGATCGTTTTGCCAATCCAAGTTTGTATGTGAAGTAATCACCATCGAAATTCCATCCTCACTTCCGCTGACAGTGGGATCCAGTGGTCGTATGAGTGACCGGTGCGTACGTATCTCACCATCAGTCGTAGTGGGCCAGGGAATAACGCTTGTATGGAGGAGGAAAGGAGGAGAGGAATCCCACAATCTAACAGCTATCCTTATAGAGGCGCTCTTTGCCATAGACGGACGCGGAACGTAGTTCTCCAAGCCGATGTCGAAACCGAGGAACTGGCCCGATTCAGATGGAGAAGCGATCTTCGTCTGTGTACAACAACAACAAAAAACCCATCGAGTCCCGAAAGTGAACGACAAATTTGTCTGCAAACATAGCCTAGATTCGTAAAGAATCAGCAAGTCTTCCAGGTATACGAGGCATCGCACGCTCAAATTTACGGATGTGTGCCCTCACTGGTTACAGTAGGTTCGCGAGCACCACGGAGTCGTAAACTGCCGTGTTTGTCCTCGCCATTGGAATCGGAGGAAAACTTCGGCAGTCCAGGGCAACGGGTACTGACAAGCGTGCGTCCTTGAGGTCCAGATGTGTAAACCAGTCGTTATCGCCTAGGAGGTCTTGTAGAAGACGAATTTCCCCCATCTTGCAGCATTTGTATACCATGTAGGAGTTCCATTGATGTAGTCTCCTGGCTTCTTCTTGACCAGGAAAAATTTGCTGGGGAAGCCTTCCCCTCCGGTGCATGTTGAATTGCGCCCTTCCAGAAGAGGGTGCAGATTTTCTTGTCCACGAGGCGTTCCTGTTCCGCCAGCGTGCGTAATGGAGGTGAAGGGGCGACCTGCACAGCTGTGATAAAACTCTATGACATAGCCTTGTACTGTCTGGAGAACCCAGGTGACTTGGGTAGTCGTCTCCCAATTCTGTAAAACAGAGACAGGTTGCCGGTCATAATATTGGAAACAGTTAGTTATGTAGGTTGACACACTAGTAGATGAAGCGGATGGGTTCCTTTGTGTAGTAGATGGGAGAAATATGAGGACTGTGTATATGATCTGGAACCTGACGCCCAGAAGCGGCTGGTGGCTCGGTTCAGCTACCGACCAGTCCTCCCAGAAACACCTTTCCCCGTAGGGTTGTGGAAGACTTGTTTTAGCGAGGTCTGGGTTTAATTTAGTGTGGTGAATAAATTCACGTGTTTCTTGAGTACTGCAATGAACACTATGTCGAATAGTAGGCCTTGTGCTTTTGGGCCGAATTCTTGTCGTTCCTAAGTCCAATAGTGTGTTGTCAATGCGGCCCAGTACAGATTTGCGTCTGTCGGTGCATAGTGCGTCATTTACGTTGCCCAGGAGGCATATCGAGCATTGAGACCATTCTTTGGAGGTGGTAGGGTTGAGTTGTGCACCCTGGGGTAACTCGGTCTTGAGGCGTGCGCATCCTTCCATCCCCCGAGGGTTGCGCAGCCAATAGTGTTCGTCCAGGAACGTTCCGTCTTCGGCTACTCTGGTTTAGTGCCGCTACAGTTATCTCTGCCTCAGCCGCCGTCACAGAGTAAGGTTTCCCTAACGTACTTCGAGGAAGTGTGGGGAAGGTCTTGCCGTTCCATTTCCTCAGACAGTGAGCTGTCTTCGTGTCGCTCATCTACCATGTCCAAAGTACGTGGTGGGTAATAGTCTTCTTTGTCGGAAGATTGTGGTGGACGGGGTTTGGATTCCCGGTGCTCCGCCTATTTGGTCTGTTCGATGGGCGTCTTGCCCTTGACCTTAGTGGCGGGGGGCTGGAGCCCTTCCCTTGCCATTTTGACTTAAAGGCTTGTGGGCCTGAGGTCTCCATTAAGCGGTGTGGGGTAGAGTTCATAACAGAACCTTCTCCACTGAGGCCGTTACTGTGGCGTTTATCATTGCCTAGAAATCTTGGGAACGTTGAGAGTGTCCACCATGACTCGTTCCCATCCTGTTGGGAGATAGTGTGAGGGTCAGCACGTAGGGGTGTTAGACTCCTGGTAGAACTGGGGATCACCCAGGTAAAACAGTTTGAATTGCCTGCTTTAGTATGTCTGAGAGTATGAATACTCGTGCCAAGTGTAGAGGGGTCACCTCTATTAGTTTAATCTGGCTACTGAGAGCCGTGGTGCAGGCGCGACTGACTGGTAGTGGTGTCGGTCTGGCTAGCCGGGTTCACCACAAATGTACGCCAGAGCTGTATGCACGGTTTTTAACTATACAGGCTTATTATATAGGCGCATGGGGCCTGTCTACATAAGGTCTGCAGCCGCAGGACCCATGTCTATTAGGCTGGGTTCATCCCAGGTGGTGTGCCATGGTAACCCAGAGGACACCCATATTATAATTATTGGCACCTTACAATCATTGCATGCATATCTGGGGGTCATCCCAGGTGGTGTGCCATGAAAAATTACCCAGAGGACACCCACGTTCAATATGTACACTAGGCACAGTAAATATACATATATGTATCCCTGTGAAGGGTACACCGCAATACACTCAGTTTCTTAGTGATCCTGCCGTCAAATCGCATCCAGCATGGTACTGTTGCTTTAATGTAAAACTGACAGGCAGTGTTTAACCCCTTAAGGACACATGACATGTGTGACATGTCATGATTCCCTTTTATTCCAAAAGTTTGGTCCTTAAGGGGTTAAACATCCATATATGTCTGTAGTAATCAGTGGTAAAGTTGAGGCGTAGGCCTCCGTGCATATGATCGGGGTTCACCCCGGGTGGTGTGCCATGGTAACCCAGAGGACACCCACATCAAAGGTAATGGTCTGACAGTGACCTTGCATGCATATCTGGGGGGTCACTCCAGGTGGTGTGCCATGAAAAAATACCCAGAGGACACCCACATAAATTTGCACCGTCAGGTACAGTAATATAATATGACCCTCTGTAGGGTACAATAATATAATATAATATTCCCTTTGTAGGGTACAGTAACACAATATGCCCTTTGTAGGGTACAGTGATATCGTTGATCTGGGTTATAGGTACAGTATATGTTTTGTATAACGACTGTGATATTGTATGGCTTCACAATAATACATAGATTGTGTGCCTGCTCAACATATAATCATCCAGTGTAAGGCACCATGAGAGATATATCCATGAGAATAAAAAATAATAATTGTATCAATAAATGAATGTGCCCAGAGAGGGGGACCCCTGAAGGGGTTAATCCAGATGCAGGGCGCGGTGATCGGGTGATTCCTGTAGGGTATAGTAATATAGTATGACCCTGTGCAGGGTATAGTAATATGGTATGACCCTGTATAGGGTATAGACCCTGAGTAAGGTACAAAGACATAATCTCCTTTAATGCCTGCATGTAAGTATTTGTTTGGCAGACACTGTTGGCAGGCACTGTGGCAAAATACATCGAAAGAATACATGGAGAAAAAACTGAAATCCAGCTTGCACTCTCCCATTGTTCGCTTGGGAGAGCATACACTTGTGGAGCCCGGCGGTCGGGTGAGTTCCCGATCCGCCGTGCGAGCAGGGAAGGCGGCCGTCGGGTATCTCGCGAGCCGCGAGATCCAAGATGGCCGTCGCCCACATGTGAAGGTGCGCCACGGATCACGGTCGCACGGTGCAAAACAAAGGGGAGATATGCAACACAAACGCTGACCCCAGCCTCCCTCCACCCGTCCCCATACAGTCCCCTGTGTAAGTGAAGGGCCGGTCCACGAGGCGAGCGCGACATGGGTAGTCGTTGCGCCCGCGGATACAAGGCAGTAAGGTGGAAATAAAAAGGGGGAAAAAACAGAGGGATACAGTGAAGGGACAGGAATAAGGGGGGCCAAGGTAGCAGGTGTTAGCAATAAATAGAGTAATATATAGTGGTATGACAATCAAAAAACAGTGTAAATTAAGAATCTACCAGAGAGGCAAAATACTCTGACCTGATGTATGGCTGGAGCAGCAAAGAAAGAGGAAGTGATGTCATAGACAGGGCCTTTTATGGGCATCATAACTTTTTTCTGATTGGTTGTTATGTTTCTATGCTGCTGGAGTTTTCAGTAAAGAAAGATATGCAAATATGAAGCCTCCTGTCATGTGGTAAAATTGAAAATAACTATATTGTCTATAGGGTAAAAGTGATATATGTATAAG